AAAGCTTTAAGTAATTATTAAGTACTTATTAATTACTCTACTTCTCTTTTAAGATTTTTATAATTTAATAATATAATACCTTATATAATAGTTAATAAATTTTTATAATCTTTATTAAGTATGCCTAAGTAATTAATAAATAGTTAAAAAATATTTATAGTTATATATTATCTTATATTTTAGCTCTTCTCTTTATTAATTTTAGCTTTTTTTTTTATTTTTTAATTACTTTACTTAAACCTCTTCTTTCTTCTTTTTTAATTAAATCTCTAGTTTCTTTAACTCTAGTACCTTATATTATTATATAAATAATAAGATAAGATAAGTAGCTTTAGATAATTTAAAGTAGTTAGTAAGTACTTAAGAAGTATTAAATAAGTAATTATATACTTATTAGAGGTTCTATTATTCTATAATCTAGACTTTAATAAATAAGAAGAAGAGAAATAGTAATATTTTTAAGAAGCTATAAAATAAATAGTTAATAAGTAGTTAAAAAGTAGTTAAGGAATAATATATAATATATATATATATATATAAAATACCTTCTTAGCTAAGATAATATAAATAATTTATTTTTATATTACTTATATAATAAGAATAATAAATATTAAAATCTATATAATTAATATATTATAAGATATCTTATTTATCTATCTTTACTGCACTAAATAAAAAGTTAATAAGAATAAAAAAAAGTTAAAGGTATTTAATAAATATTTAATAAGTACTTAATAAGTACTTATTAAGTACTTATTAAGACTATTAATACTTACTTTAGTATAGCATCTATTAAACTTAAGTATTTACTAGATATATTAATCTTATAATAAGATTATTTAGCTAAATTAGTATCCTTATAAATAAAATTAAATATTATAGATAAAATATTAAAATATAATTTATTAAGACTAGCTTTAATAACCTTATTTTTCTTATAAATAACTTAATTATATATATTAATATTCTTATACTCTTAAGTAGTTAATAAGTAGTTAAGAAGTACTTATAAAGTACTTATATATTAAAAGACTATATAACTAATTATAATCTTATAAGGATTTATAATTAATTAAAGCTATTATTCTACTCTAAATACTAGTTTCTTAATTTTAATTACCTATAGTTTTTATAATAGTATAAAAAAAGTAAACTTAGTAAAAAATAATAATATCTTTTAATTATTAAAGAATAAAGTAATATTAAGGATTAATTTTATATAGATATTAACCTAAATCTAAAAGATAAATAGTTAATAAGTAATTAAGAAGTACTTAATAAGTAGTTATTAACTAATATATTATTTATTATCTATATTAATTATAATTACTTAAATATTACTACTATAAATAGAATTAAACTTAATAAGGTATTTAGTAACCTTATTTAAAAGAGTAAATACTTTTTTAAAAAGCTTATAATAGCCCTCTATAATTTCTTAATTAGTAAAGACTTAAAGAAGAGTAATAACTAAAAGATATAAATATTTAATAGATAGTTTATAAGTACTTAAGAATTACTTACTTTTAGTATAAGTATAAAAATAAATAATAAAGACTACCTTATTTATCTCTCTTTCTTAAAGATATTTATATAATATATTAATATTAAAAGAATATAATAAGATAAGAAGCTTAATCTATTCTTTAAATATATAAATAATTATTATTTTACTATTCTTAGAATATTTCTCTTAAATATACTCTTAAAGAATAATTAATAAGTAGTTCTAAAGTACTTATTAAGTAGTTTTTAATTACTTACCTTAATAAAAGGATTAGTATTATAAAGATATATAATACTATTATAATATTATCCTATAAGATATATTAAAAGCCTTTACTTTTAAATCACTATATTAATATAATTAAGATTTAAAAATAAATTATAAATTTAAGCTAGTATATATAAATTATATTAATAATAAAATAATTTAAGCTTAAGGCTATAAAGAAACTAGGCTATTTTTATTATTAATAATAAAAAGAAATAGTTAATAAGTAATTAATAAGTACTTAGAAAGTACTTATTAACTACTTTATATTTAAAATATATCTAGAGTTATACTTAGATTATTTATTTTTTTAATAATCTATATAATTCCTCTTATTATTAATTCTGGCGGTTTATATAGTAGTAATAAAGAATACTAATAAATTCTATAAGAAGTAAAAAAAATATAAGGTACTTTAGAAATATTAATTAGTACTAATATAATAAATATAATATTATACTTTAAATATATTAGCTTTTTTAATCCTTAGAGATAATCACTATTTAAAAATAATTAATAATTAATTAGGAAGTACCTTTTAAGTAGTTAAAAACTACTTACTATAATATTTTTATCTTATTATTTATAGCTTAATAATACTATACTTCTTATCTAAAGATATAATCTAATTATTAAAAAGCTCTTTAAGAAAGTTAAGATTTATATTATTATAATCTTTAATAGTACTATAATAATATTTTTTTAAAAAGGAAGGTGTTATATTAATATAATTAATATATAGCTAATATTCCTTATTTATATCCTAAAGATATATTAATATAAATCTTAAAATAGTTATTAAGTACTCCTTAAGTACTTAATAAGTAGTTAAGTATTTACTTATAGGGAAAAAGTGCCTTTTAAATACTAATATATATATAGATAATAACTTATAATAAGATTAATATTTTAGAAAGAAGGCTTTCTTTAAATAATATAAATAAAAATATATTAATAAATTATAATAATAAGTACTCCTTAAGTACTTAAGAAATACTTAAAAGCTACTTACTTATAGATATTTTATTTTCTCTTATTATTCTTTAATAAATTAATATTTTATTATATATATTAAATTTTAGACTAAGTATCCTTTATAAGCTAAGTATAATATAATATATAAAGACTTAGCTTTAAGTATTTATAAACTAAGATACTAGTATAAGTCTAATATTATTATTTTATAGTATAGTTTAAAAAGGAATATTATATCCTTTTTATACTATATTTATTAAATTAATAATATTAAATCTAAAATAATTAATAAATAATTAGAAACTACTTAATAAGTAGTTAAGAAGTATTTATTTCTTATATTAATTATTCTACCTTCTCTTATAATTTACTCTTAATAGACACTATATATATATATCCTAATATATCACTTTTAGAATACTTAGGAAGGTCTTAAGTATATTTAGGAAATAATATCTTAAAAAGATTTAATCTTATATTAGTTAATATAACTTAAGCTATTAGTTCTAGCTCCTAAATATAAATAAAGGTAAAGTAGTTAATAAGTATTTATTAAGTAGTTTTAAAGTAATTAATTATCTTACCTTATATATATCCTTTTTAGAACTATTATAATAGTTTAAATTTTTAAAAATATTAGATAAGCTTTAGTTTTCTATCTTAAAAAGATAAAGTACTTAATAAGTAGTTAAGAAGTAATTAAAGATATTATTTTTATTATATCTTTATAACCTTTAAAGATTATAAAGGAAATTAAAATTTAACTAAAATATAACTATATTTAAATAGTTGAGGTGCCCCACCCCGTCGCCAAGCCATTCTCAAATAGGTTAGAGGGGCGCCGCACTAATTTCACGGGGCACCTGACCTGTGTACTCATCTATAACTAGTGACCTTTATAGAATAAACCTTAGTCATGTCTTATAATAGTATGTATTCAGGCCTTTTTGCCAATACTAACCCATATAGCCTTTTGAAAAACACCTAGTCAGCTTATCTTAGTAGACCAGCCGAGATATCTAAAGCTGACCCTTATTAGTAACTGCACCTGTTCACAATAGACACACGACTTTACCCATGATTCTATAGTAATCTATATGCTAGTAGGACCCTGATTAGTCATGTTTTATTGATATTACGGCTATTCCTGGGCGTCAGCCTAATTTGCCAAGTCTTATAGTAACCCCGCCTCCAGCCCCGGGGAAGGAATTGTCATTCCTCACCATATCCATCATGTCGCTTTCAGACACAGAAGACGTGGTTGTGGTGGATTCCCGCGATATTTGTGACTTCAACGAACAAAACATTCTTCCTCTTCCAGCAGAGGAGCTCAAGAAGATCCGAGATTGGCTGCAGCCCACACCGTATGATCTAGAGAGATCTGAATTCTCAAGACATCGGGCATCATATCTTGCAGGCACCGGGCAGTGGCTTCTGTCCACAACTACCTATCAAAAATGGCATCAAGGCGATGCGAATGGCCTCCTTTGGATCAAAGGCATCCCCGGATCCGGAAAATCTGTCATGGCAGCCTCGATCATCGACCAGCTCCGCAAGGAAGAGGTCCCAGTCCTTTCCTTCTTTTTCCGCCAGATCATTGATGCAAACCACCAGCCGGTAGCTGCGTTGCGAGATTGGCTGTGCCAAATGCTTCCCTACAGCCCACCCTTGCAAGTCCGGCTGAAAGATGACTACCTGAAGAAGAGTCGCTCGGTGGATAGTCTATCTCCAAGCGATCTCTGGAAAGATCTCAAGCTTGCTCTGGCTGCCTTCCCCAAGGCCTACTGCGTCACCGATGCCTTGGACGAGATGGATCAGGGCAACGATGACTTTCTCCACGATTTGGCCGAGCTGGGCCAATGGCGCCCTGCCAATGTCAAAGTCCTCATTACCTCACGCCCAGTGATCGCTGTAGAGTCTCCCTTACGGCAGTTCCGTATACCACATCTTCGCTTGGAGGAACGCCTCGTCGATATTGATATTGCTGCCTATGTGCAATACAGACTGCGAAACTCCTCCGTCCCCCACGAATACTGGGATCTTATCACCGAAGCCGTGCCTGGTCGAGCCAATGGTCTCTTCTTACATGCAAAGCTTTCAATGGACGCGTTTGTCGAGCCGGAAGCCAACGCTCAGGAGGTCCTTGAAAAACTGCCAGCGGACCTGAACGTGATGTATAACAACCTCTTGCGCGAACATGCAAAGCGCTCGCATGTTCCAGACGAATTGCAGCTTCTCGTCTTGCAGTTTGTCACTCATGCCACCCGGCCATTGCGTCTTTTAGAGATTGCGGAGATGGTCCAGACAACCCATGCTTTGGTGGGAGAACGCAGCCTGAAAGAGACCAAAGACCTCATCCGGGCTGCTTGTGGCCCGCTACTGGAGGTCCTGCACGACGAGACCGTCTCTGTTGTTCACCACTCCTTTACCGAGTTTCTCAAAGGATTCACTCGTGTCTCGGATGGTGCAAGCTACCCGATCCTTGAGACTGGCCCGACTAACCAACGCCTTGCCATGGTATGCTTGGGCTATCTACAATCTGGATGTCTGGACAACTTGGATATCAAGCAACGCAGTAAGCAGGACGAGTTCTATCGACCCAAAAAGGCTCAGCAGAGTGCAATCAGGCTGCAATTCCCATTCCTGGAATACGCAGCGGAGAACTGGTACATCCACACACGTCGTGCAGTACTTGCTGGTGCAGATATGTCATCGTTCTACATGGCTCTGGATACCTTCATGGCAGATAACCAGAGATTCACTGCCTGGCTGGATCTCGACTGGCCCGAGCATTTGATCCAAGGGCTCACTCCACTCCATGTTGCTGCTCGGACGGGGCTGGCGCAATACACTGCACGCTTGCTTGCAGGGGGCGGTGCAGACCCAAATGCGAAGAGCTTTGCTGGTGATCCTCCACTCTACTGGGCTGCTTCAGCCGGCCATGCAGACGTCGCACAGCTTCTCATTGACAACGGGGCGGATCCAGACGGAGAGGCGCACGAAGGATACAAACCGCTCCATATCGCTGCCACCAAGAACCGAGCTGGTGTCGTCAAGGTCCTGCTGGCTGCTGGGGTCGACCCGCTCACTCCAAAGACAAGAGAAAAACCGGGCAGATTCTGTGGCAATGCGCCGCGTTCAGTTGGTCATACACCGCTGATGTATGCCTGTCAACACGGGCATGCTGAAGCCGTGGCGGAGTTTCTTCCATATCTTACAGATCCCGAAACCCTCATCCGTGCCCTTTCTTGGTCGGCAGGGTCGGGGCACGCAGCCTGTGTGGACTTGATTGTCCGATATCCAGGCGTAGACGCGAACTCCAAGTACATGGGAGAGACTCCACTGTTCAAAGCCTGCAATGAAGGATCGTTGAAGACAATCAAGGTTCTTCTCCGAGCAGGTGCAGATCCCAATACCTTCAACTCTTATCCAGTGGATGAGTTTAGTGGAAATTTCCTTATGAATCGACGTCACCCCTCAACGCACCCAGACGGTCCGAGAGGCTACACTGCATTACAGGCACTGTGCGGAATCAACAAAAGGCTACATGAGCGCAACCCTACCGTGGAGTGTGTTCCCGTCCTTCTCGAGGCTGGTGCGGATGTTCACTTGAAGTCTCCCGAAGGCAAAACAGCCTTGCATTATGCCTGTGAAACCAATATAGAGATTGCAAAACTGCTATTAGATGCCGGAGCAGATCCTACTGCTGAAGACGACCGTGGCAATACAATCCTCCATACTGATGGATCTACAGACAAAGAGTTGCTGCCTCTGGTATTGGACTCAGGGCTTATTGATATCAGGAAGCTCACAGCAGGGCCTTTGCACTGTCGGATCAATGGCTTGCATATCGAGTCTGTCCTGGAGTTCCTCAAGTACAAACCAAATGTCAACGCCACTGGATTGAATGGCAATGGTTCTCTCCATGTGGTGGTTAGTCGCTTCAGCACCTCTTCCAAAGGTGCTGTCATCGATGCTTTACTATCAGCAGGTGCTGATCCCAATCTGCAAAATCAAAAGGGCGAGACACCGTTGCATTTGATGATTCACGACCCTCAGATTGAAATGGTGTCCAAGCTGGTCAATGCAGGGGCAAACATTGAGCTCCGGGATGCCCAGGGCCAGACAGCTCTCTTCAAAAGCGTCATGTCTGCGCCGTTCAAGGACATTGATGATAGACCTGAACTTTTCAAGACACTCATTGAGCTAGGTGCTAGACTCGATACGCGGGACAACAAGGGCCGAACTATCCTGCACCACGTCGTCAGGAATACCAGTCGTTTGAAATATCTGATAGGCATTATGGATTTCGATCCTTCCGTTGTGGACAACAAAGGAAACACGCTCTTCCTTGAGGCTGCTTCGAAGAAAAAGTCACCCGACAAGGTGAAGATATATAGGCATCTGAAGAAGCTAGGGGTTGATATCGAGCAACCCAACAATCACGGAAAGACGGTATTGCACAAGATGTGCGCGCGAAAACCAGAAGCCAGCAGTTGGAAACCTGCTCTAGAGAGTGCCTTTGACTACGTCCTTCAAGTGTGCAAGAATCCGAGTCCTCAGGATGTCGATGGCATTCAGCCGTTGCATATTGCGGCTGCTGTATCGGAAATCCATGTTTTCAAACTGCTCAATGCTGGCGCAAATGTGTTCAGCGTCACAAACCAAGGCATGACGGTGCTTCATATTGCAGCTCGAGCCCGACAACCCGGGATCATCGGCCTCATTATCTCACACCTCGCTGGCCTGGAAGATGTCAAACTGAAAGCCTTTCTAAACCAGAAAAACGCTGAAGGAAACGCAGCGCTTCACTATGCTTGCTCCTCCGGTCGTCCCGAAACAGTTAATTTGCTGTTAGATGCCGGGGCAGATCCTAATTTGCCAGACAAAGATGGATATACGCCTTTCTTCCAGTCATGTGTCGAATTTGAAGTTGAACAAGCACGATGGAAAAGAATCGGCAAGAATGACACTACTAAAGCCCTCAAAACAGCCAGTGTTTTGATCAGTAACACTCCGCTACTAATTGATGGCCATGAAAAGCTCGATTGGCGCTCTCATGGTTTGGAGGAAGAGTCAGGCTCAACCCGTCTAGATGAAATTTTGATTTCCCTGGATCTTCACGGCGCCAATATTGATGAACTCTCCCTTCGAGCTGCATTACACACTGCTGTATCGAATCAACGCGACTATACTGCCGAGTGCCTCTTACGTCTGCAGTCTCGCTTCCCCAACATGAATTTCGGAGATTCAGACAATGAAGAAGTAATTGCCTGCAAGGTCCGTCTAGAGGAAGAACGGTCATCATTAAGGGAGAAAGAAAGGAAGGACAAAACAAGAGAAATGGTAGTAAGATCACGCAGTGACTTTCGAGTTTCCCATACGCTGAAGCTGCTCGGTCTTCGCCAATATGATCTCCTGGAACAGAGAATGCCAGAGATCGATATTTCCGAGCTTAACTGGAGGTATATCTCTCTCCCGCACAGACTGGTGAGCTTCGGGCTGTCAGACCTCCTGGATCGTGTTTGTCCTAGTGATGCCGCATTGAAATTCGATGACCATGAATGGTGCAACCAGGCAGAGGATGCAAATCACTGCCATCGAAACATTGCCACGCCACTTCTCATCACGGCATGCAGACGTCATCTGCCTAACATGGCTGTGGTGCGACTCCTGGTGGAAAAGATGGGCGTGAATATAAACGCCAAATGCAGAGATACTAAAAACGAGTTTACGCCGGCTAGTGGTGTCCTCCATGAACTTGCAGGGGGGAAGACATGGTGGAATGTTCACCAGGCTTTGCCATACTTGATACGACAGGGTGCGGATCTAGAACTGCGCAACGAACATGGAGAGACACCCTTACACATTGCATTGGACTTTCAAAAGTTCAAGGGTGTTTTCTACAAGGAAGCCGTGCGAATCCTTCTGAAGAGCGGCGCGGACGTCAACGCTGTGAATAGCAAAGGAGAGACATGCTTATCAAAGGCCGGCACTGATCTCGAGCTGATCGAGTTGCTTCTATCCCATGGGGCTAAAGTTTCGCCCGCGGCCATATTCTCCGCGATTGAGCTGCAACAGGTTGAAATCCTGGAATTATTTCTCTCCCAAGGAGACTATGCCAATATGAGACGACCCAAGGCTGACAAGCCAGAAAGGGCGGGACCACTTGGCACCAGGATTGAAGATTCTGAGATGTATCCTTTGTTGTATACAGTGATGTTCAAGGTTGAGCATACCCGCGATAGAGACCCCAAACTCGCTGTTTCAAAGACGCGTATGATGACAACAGTTCTGCAGCATGGTGCGGACCCTTACGCCACCTATATCAAGCTCCATCGAGTCAGGAGCACATCTTTTGCAGACGACGACTCTTCAGGTCCATGCTGGGAGCCTAAACAATACACCATTATACACGAGATCCTGAGCACTGGAGATGTGGTCCAGCCATTATTCCAACTTCCATTCCTCGAGCTTGAAAGACGGGACGCCAGAGGCCAGACATTGCTTTTTGCTGCCTCGCAGAATAGCAGGAGACTCACTGAGAATATCGAATGTGCCAACGGTGTCACCAAGACGCCATTTCAAGAGCTTCTTGACCGCGGCGCAGACATCACAGCGCAGGATACAGATGGCAAAACGATTCTTCACAATCTTATCAGGCAGAGCCCCAATAAAGACTTTATCACTAATATCAAGGCTCTCCTCGCTAGGAAGCCCTCTCTTGTGTGCGTCACTGATAACGCTGGTGACAGTCCACTCCACTATGTGCTTAGAGGATCATCAATACACTTGGAATACATTGATCTACTGCTGGAACACGGCGCCGATCCTCTCCAGCCCGACTCAAACGGTGATACAGCTCTCCACATCCTAGGTCGAAGGCCTCTCACTTACAAAGGGCACTTCAAACGATTTCAAGATGCTGGCGTTGACATCAATGCGCGCAACAAAAAGGGCAATACCCCGCTTTTCAAATTTGTTGAATTGGGCTCCCTGGGAGCTGAAAGTTTCTTCTGGGGCATGCCAGACGATGAGAAACTTGGTGAAAATCCTGGTTTGTTATTCTTCAAGGAGGCCGGTGCTGATTTCTTTGCCCGTAATCATGTTGGATCCTCACTGCTTCATGTGCTGGCTGCTAGAAAGATTTCGGATAGACGATACATCAGCACTGAGGATTCAGAGGCACGGATTCGAAGGTTTGTGGCGGCATTTCGGTTTTTGATGGATATGGGCTTGGATCCTATGCTTGAGGATGTTCAGCAGCGGACTTCTTTGGATGTTGCCGCCGCTTGTGGCAATGAACATCTTCTCAAGCTTTTTGAGCGGAAGCCGATGGAGTAACAGTGGACTCAGTTTCTAGGTATATCATTTATCATTGGATCTATTCAGATTCCAGCTGTTTGAAGCTCTAAATTAAATATGAAATTCACCTGCCTACTGCGACTCATAGGTTTTGGATACTCTCACATCTATTTTTATATTTAAAATTACTATGCTAAGAAAGTAATTAATTATTGATATAAATTATATTATGTTAATGAATAATTCTATTAACTATATATTTCATCAGCTATCTTAATTTAAAGAATTAAGAGGAATATTATAAATAATATTAAAAGAAGATATTAAGTTAGGAAATAATTTAAAAATAATTAGGGATGTCATGAGATTTAGAGATACTAGGTGGCTGGTTGTTCCCCAAGAAATCTAAACTTCTCTTTCACTTAACCTTATCATTCTAAAATGCCTCTTAGGGCTACCAAAGCCCGCAGAATACTCTCTATTTATTCTAATTCCTATCTATCCATGATGATAGCTCAACCATTTAGCACTATGAGAGAAAGGGCATCTAAAACCGTGTTTTCTAGTAGGATTTCACCTCTTCCGCCGTAAGAGGCTTCTGGCTAACTGAATGCTAGATTGTGACGCTGAGGAGCTCTTTACATATTCCGCTCAGAGATGGCTGTGGGATGAGCCGGCTCAGCTACAACGCAGATATGTCCGGTTCAATCTGGACGCCCTGGTCGAGATTGCCGAGAAAGCTGCAGGAGATGATGCCGTCTGCGTGCAGGTATCAAAGCTGCCAGAAGGAAATTTCAACAAGACTTTTCTGGCAAAAATGCAAGACGGGAAACAGCTAGTTGTCAAGATCCCGAATCCAAATGCAGGGCCTGGTCATTACACTACAGCCTCTGAAGTAGCCAGCATGGAATATGTGATTGTTTCCTTCTGCCTTTTTTCTACTACACAGATTCTGAACTGTCTTATAGGTCCGAAAACTCGGTATCCCTGTCCCCAAAGTACTGGGATATTGCTCCCGGCCCAGCGAGAGCAAGCTTGGAGCAGAATATATTGTGATGGAGAAAGCCCCCGGAGTGGAACTGGGCCGACGATGGGACCAGCTCAAGGCGCGAGACAAGCTGTCCATTGTGAAACAACTCGCCGGTATCACTTGCACTCTCGCTCAATCACGATTCCCATGCTATGGATCCCTGTACAAAAGGCGGGACGTGGCTCCATCAGAGAGCATACCTGTTGACGATGAGTTTGCCATTGGACCCACGGTTGGACGGGCATGGTTTGATGATAGAAGAGGAGAGGTTGATGTTCCGCGGGGGCCTTGTGTGTTATCATTCCTCTTATAAGTTTACTGTGAATACTGCTTCTAACGTTCCTCTAAGGGCCCTCTGCAGACAGCGTTATAAAAGCCCTGGTTCAGCGAGAAACAAAATGTCTGGAAACGTTCCCAACTTTTCCGCGAGATCGCCAGCAAGGGATATTCAGTGGACCTGGTGGCTACCATCCAAGCAAGGAAGCGAAACTATCCGTGCTGCAGGACTTGATCAAGGTATCGCCGTATCTGATCCCGCGTGGCGAGGCGCTCTCTGCTGGTATGATTTGGCATAACGATCTGCACACGGAGAATATCTTCATAGACAATGTGGACTGCCGGATCACCAGCATCATAGACTGGCAGGGGGTGCCTATCTACCCGATGTTCCTCGCCACACATCACCCATCGCTGATCGACTATGAAGGCCCAAAGCCGGAGGGCTTCGTTTCCCCTACGCTTCCTGACAACCTGGACACGCTTGACCCAGAAGCAAAAAAGGCGGCCAAGGAGCTATTCCTCTGCCAGTCACTGTGGCTGTCATATGAAATAGAAGTGCAGAGAGCTGTGCCGAATCTGCTGCACACCTTCCGGCACCGGGATACATTACCAGGTCAGATCCTGGGGATTACCGGGTCCATTTACGACGATGGAGAAGCATACGTACAACGCCTTCTTACAGAGGTCACCAAAGCCGACGTTTGGAAACAAATAGTTGGAGAAGACAACATCCCATGCCCGTTGCATTATTCCAAGCAGGACATGGCAAAACAACAGTCAGAGTATGCCAAGTGGGAACGGGACGTTGAATACAAGGCTCGCGTGCTGGATGCGCTGGGGGTCTACACGGGGTGGAACGGAGCTGTATCTCCTAAGGATTATGACCAGATGGCCCAAAGGCTCGCAGTAGTAAAGGAGCAGTTCCTGGCCCGAGAGTCTGCCAATGACCAAGAGAGAGCGTTATGGGAGGAGGTTTGGCCATTTAGAAGTTGAGTGGTTGGCCGATGGACTCAGCTTTATAGACACGAAGTACATGTAGAAGATTTCTAGGGGGTATTGAGAGGCAGAATCAATGCGATAACAGTAACTAGATACAGAAAATTTTTGATCCCTGACAACCTGACAAAGGGTCTTTATTCCATCTTAAACCACTCGTGAGCCAGAAAGTCATCCACGCTCAGGCGCTGCTCCGGATCATAGCGAAATATCTTATATAAAAGCTCCGCCATTAGCCTCTGCTCTTCTTTAGGTGTCACCGACCTTCGTGGCTCTGATTGAACAACTTCCACAGGCGTATCCAGCGCCACCTCGAGAGACCATTCTTTCGCGGCATCTCCCCCCCCCCCTCGAAGCCATTTTCCCTGGTCGTCAAAAAAGTCCCTCCGCACCTCCCATTCAACCCACCACGCTCGCGGTGGCTGGCCGAATAAACGGACCATCTCTGCTAGAAGTTCAACTCGGTCATAAATCATGTAGAAGAGCGGTATTTGCTCGTGAATTCCGAAGAGTGTACAGGCCAGCGCCCAGATGTCACAGGACAGGCCGACGGAGTTCTCCTCCTCTTGTAAAGCCTCAGGCGGTAGATAGTTCTCCGGCATTCCCAACGCCTCCGGCGGCGCTGAGATCGAGTATGCCTCGCTAAAGTCAATCACACACATTGTGTCAGTGAGATATTTGTCGGCCAGCCGGGAGATATCGGATGGAATGGTTAGATATTGCGGCGAAGATGCCGGAAGGTCTTTACCTAACCCAGTACGCACATAGGCCCGCTCAGAATGGCCTAAGAGTGCGAGCAACTCGTCTTCGGGTAATTGGTTGAGGTTATGATTTAGCTTGACGAGGATATTGGAAGGCCGAAAGTCTGCAAAAGTTGTCAATCTCAAGTGTACTTTTGAAGAGGAGTACCAAGGCAAAGGATACCTCCGTGACAGAGGCAGTGCATATGCAGGAATTGCATGGCGAGTGCAGCCTGGTAGGCCCCTTTCCGCAATATACGCCCGGGATCCATGCCGAGCTCTATCCATAGACCCGGCGAGACACAGGGACCAAGAATTGGGAGCACGATACATTGGTGCGACCCATTTGGGCCATCAATAGAGAATGAATCTAGGGGGGTTGCAATTTGTTCGGCGCCTGGAACTGATTTATCAAAGCGCGTCAAGATCAAATCAGGAACAGCCCCTTGGTTCACGTCCCCAGCCATGGACTTGACAACGACATATCTCGACAGAGCCAGACAGTGCCGAGGCCACCATGACCTAGTTTTTGAATGACATGATATCGTTCAGATGGGCCAAGGGTATCACCTAGATGGATAGGGTGGAAACCACCAGGTTGATAGTCCTCCAAGGGTTCGAGGTCTTCATCTACCCCTTCCAGATAGGTGCCGTAAAGAGTGGGAGGCGCGTGGTCAAGAAATCTGTCCTCTTCAAAGTGTGACTGACTGTCGCTCAACATGGTTCTTGGCTTGAAGAATTTTCTAGTTGCGGGGAGAAGACCGAGGAAGATTTGTGAGAGACAGCAGATGAGAGTCGCAGACAAAAAGGCCTCAAGGTAGACTTTTAGCATCAGAACATACGCGCGCCAAAGACCATCGACTCAATATGTTAACCACTAATAAAAATAAACAAGCTGATAGAAAGAGTACAAAATATACTATAAATAGTAAGGAGGTTATGTCCAATATCTGACGGGGAAAGATAGATAACTGGTAGACCATAATAAACGCTATAAATAATACTATAGACAAAGCCGTGATAAATACAGAATTCCCGGGTAATGATTATCACTTGAACGTCAAAGATCATAAGAATCAGGCTCATGTGGAAACTTTAATTACTATGCTGGGAAACGACAGCGAGGTCCAGCTGGGCGTTGAGCCAGACAGCTCACTGCCGCATCAGCAGTAGGAAATTTATAGTTACTATCTAGTGATGTGCATGTAGCCAAGTCTCTGCTTATACCAGGAAAAATGAACTTTAAAGACATGAGATCAAAAACCAAGGATGATAGGATAAGAGCCTTTCTATGCCAACTCCTACAGAGAAGTATCTATGTTTATAGGGATCTAAGTGGCAGGCTGGTCCTAGATCATCCTAGCCAATATTAAAACATGATTATGCGCTCTGTAGGTTAACTATATACTCATCCCTCTACTCTCTCAACAGCGGTTTGCTCTCACCCACACCCACTTTATCATCACTAGATTTCCTCTCAGCCAAGCCCAAGAATACTAACCCCCCCTGGACCATCGCAAAAACACCATAACCTCCCGCCGCCCAGCCAACTCTTAGATACCAATAAATAGACATGAATGGGAGTAAGAAGTCTTCCTCGCTTCAAATCTTCACACGGAAAAGCCATGACGCCGCCAACACTCCAAAGACAACACCCTGTAACGCGCAATCCTGGATCCTCATCATTCCCTGATCGGGCGACGGCGATGACAGCTGGGAGCGAAGCTGGATTGCCTGGGGGACAATTGAGCACACACTGAGCAAGGTCGTAAGAGGGCTGACGATAAAGAAGTTCCAACCTGCAAAGAGATTGACGCCGAACCCAGGGGATTGTTCATTAGGATCATGGAATAGGGTAGAATCAAGGGCATCAGTGATAACGGGGAATAGCGAGATAAAGCCGAAGACAAGGTAAAGCGCTGCGACAAGTATCCGGTAGGGGATGGGGAATTGGGGATCAGGATGCATCAGGGAAAAGATGAAGCTTGATGTTTCTTAATTTAGTAAATCAATAATGTAGGCGTAGGGAATCTCATAGCAGCAACAGCAGCACCCAAACAACACCAAGCTGAGCAAGATTCAGCCAATCCCCAATTGATCTTGGAGTATTAACAAAGAAGTCCAGCTCCCAGGTAACATTAATAGTGTAGAAGAAAGCAAGAGTCAATTGTTCAGTGGCATTAATAAGATTCAGGAGGATATAGAGTAGGGATAAGCCAGTGCCAGTCTTCTGGGCCCAGATGCGGTGAAGCTGAGGGAGGAATGATCCCACAGTGAGACAGATAAGAGCCCTAGAATATATTTCAGAATTATCAATAATTTAGTCTCCTGGACAATCAAATGGAGACCTACACACGAAGCCAGTTGGGGCAGGATGGTATCATTTCAGGCAAAGGCGTCTCCTGACCTCGGCAGCACTGTAGGCCAAGTGGTCTTAATTAGACATAGATTTTATCCATCTTATAATCTATATAGATATTCCCTACATCTAGTATATATCAAGGGCTAGGAGCCTGATACTTGGATGCTCGCTGAACGAGGGATTAACATAAACATTTCCTATAATGTATATGAAGATACTCTTTGGTTAGCTACTATAATGGTTATTATAATGTCCTTCAAGTGCTCCTTCAAGTCGGAGCGCAGTTCAGCGCCAAAACCCTAAACCCTAACCCTAAACCCAAAACCTCCCAACACTTACCAAATTTGTTACTGTCTTGGATGCAGTCTGTAGTGCTGGCCACCACCAACTGGCGGACACAATGATTACCAATGGTGCCCATCCTGGACTGAAATCTGACCAGCTGGTGTACCTGTCTGCACGCTGATGCATCGGAAGGCCATTATATGACCATGTAGATGTTGCTCATAACTGGCAAAGAAGGCAGTCTGGGAGCGGTTCCATGGGATTCCATATCCATCCTGGTTTATAGAATATCCAGAGGCAACTCCTGCACTACGAGAGGCATTTTGCAATGAAGGGAGAGTCGATCATATCGACTGATACCATTATTCTGTGCTACTCTTCAAGTCCTCCAGCCATTTCTGCGCATTTTCCTTCTCATCATCCGCATAGACTGCAAATTTGGATGTCTTCACCCCCTCCACACGCTCAAAGAGCTCCGCAATCATCTTTTCTGCCTCCTCGCGATTGCCCTGTTTCCACTCTGTCGCGGCAATTGTCTTGCAGCTCCCGATGGATTGGGGGGAAGACTTGCCAACTTTATTGTCTAGCCAGTCCAGACACTGCACAGCCAAAGCGTTTGACTCGGCATATCTGTCTGTATTCTGGGCCAGGAATTCAGAAAGGTTTTTCAGAGGCACAAGATCAGTTGGGCCCTGTCTTCTGGCGACCAGCAGCCTTTGGATTGCCTCTGCCTCGGTCTTCCGGCCAAGTTCAGTATTTGCATGGGCGATAGCATACAGAAAATATCTCCACTGCTTAAAGTCGGTCGTGTAAAGGTCGGACTTCGACTCCTCATAGCGAAGTTTCTCGAGTAGGATCTTGAGAACCACTTCGATTTTCTCTTGCTGAGGTGCCGAGCCGTACTTTTCATCCAGGTTGTACTGTTGAAACTCCTCTGCTGGGATGGCAGTGAGGATAGGGTAGGAGTCTTTATAGGTCCATGTATCCCAGAACGGGGAGATGGGGATGGCTGTCTCCCAAGGGAAATCGGTTGGGCCAGACTTGTTAGAATACCGGAACTGCATTGTATGGCGGTTCAAAGTATAGCCAGTAGTCAGAAAGCAGAGAGAAGCGGGAATAATGTAGAGAGAAAGGAGAGAGAAAGGATAGAGAAAGAAGAGAGAATGAAGAAGGGGGGATGTTCTTTGTTATGGGAGCCTCTTTAATAAAATGACAGCAGTGTTATGACACCCCTAGTAAAGACTAGCCAATAGTCACCGGTGGATAAGCAGACAAACACTCTACCCCTCAAGTAAGATGACCAACTAGCTGTACTGGCATGGACGTCCGCAAACAGTGTTGTCTGCTTGCCACTGGACAAGGGCGGGGAAGTCCTTGCACTTGTGAGGGGCATTTCGGGTCTCCCAAACGCCATCCCCCTGTTCGAAGAGCACTGGCGAAATGTCCGCCTGGCACTCGAGCATTTTTTCCAGTGCAAGATAACAGTGCTTAGTATGCATAGCATAGCGCCACGAAGATATATTCCCTCCCTTTGTATAATCCCACTCATCCCGTAAAGCAGCCAGCCACAGCAGTCGGACGCAGTGTAGTTGGTGGTAAACTATACGCAAGGAAGGGTCAGCATCATATCCCGCACCCTATTTTGTATCCTTACATTCTGGGCCAGCAATAATTGTGTCTTGATCAGGGTAGGGCAATGACCACCAGTCTTCGGCCTCTGATTTTCGAATGGCTTTCAGTCTGTCGCGGGGAAAGCCGATAAATCCATCTATTGAGATGGCAAATAGATAAGCAAAGGACCAAAAAACGCCAAATCAGGCGCCCGACCTTCCACTATGTGTTCCCACGCGTCCAGCCGATCTTCAGTGGGAGGGCCGCCGTATAATGCGCCTGGGAGTTGGCTGGAGTCCATTTGACGCCATTCGTATCTCGAAGCCCCGAGGATAGGGCCTACCAACAGATTAGAGAGAATTAAAGTAGGGGGTGATTGGCTTCTACCTACTCCACGCCCACATTTTGCCTTCACAATATTCGTCCGACGGGGGATACAGTGGGAGCAGGGCATAGAGAAGAATCGAGGCCAGAAGAAAATAGAGACTGAGGCAGACGGTGCGTCGACCAGATGCGTCAACTTTCTCCGCTTTTTCCAAGTCCCTCGCTTGCTCCTCTATGCAATCCGGGCTATCGGTGCGCAACGGAGAGTAGGAGGAAGTCGAGAATCCAGCCAGGTAGACCTTGACCGATTTCCACATCAAAGACATTAGAACGGTGGTGACAATTGAGGAAAGAGAAAGCGTTGTCCGTCCAGACGTATTGGAAGTCGGTCAGCGGACAATCAGCGAGTAGTCAGCAAGTGACATACTAACAGGCAGTTATGGTTCCTTTCTCAGATTTGTTTTCCCTCTATTGTCCTCTAACTTTCTCTCTTCATCTTCGCCTCTTCGTCTCTTCGTCTCAAATGCTTCGGCACTACGTACTGTCGTTCGCGATAAGTTCTTTGGCGGCGTGTCTTTTCGCTCTGTCAGTCATGCCCAGGCTGGATGGATCAATCTGCAATAACATATTCTACCCCTGGTCGCCAGCTGAGGGGATTGTTTCGTATCACTGGGAGTTCTTCAACAACACCGCGTTTTTCACCGAGAATGCATTCTTTAAGCTCGAATTGACTGCGGATCTGGAGGAAGCATGGGAGGGGTTTCTACCCGGTGAGTGATCCTGGTCTGAAGAGAAATGAGCTGTCTTTGACAATGATATATTTCTAGAGCATCCGATAGCAATCTCTAGCCGTCGACTAAAAGATCTCAATCAATCTCTGGACGCGAATTGGGCTAGATCCGGGGATCAAATTCTTGCTCTGCCCGAGGTGTTTGTTCAGCTTCAATGCCTTCGCTTCTTGTGGCAGTACACCCACCGCCATGAATACAACTACACATATCTAGCTATGCATTCATCAGAACGATTACGAGGACAGATAGACGAGTGTGTGGAGCGCCTGCGGCAAGCAATAATGTGCTGGGGAGACCCCGGAGTATACATGAAGCGCCGAGTCAATGGGTCAGTTGCGGTTGATCTCGACACATACCACCGTTGCCGAAACTTTGAAGATATCCGGCAGTGGACCCTGGCTCACGGGGTAGATACAGTATTCATGCATGACGGTTGGTGGAATGTAACATATCTCCCGGAGCAATACCACCTTTCTGAGGGAAAATAATAATATCTTCAAACCAAAGCATGAAAGATTAGGATGTGCCACCCACACGAGTGTCTAGATTGGAGCCGCTGCGGAGTAAGAGCCTCACAATCTCGTTGTTTCCAGTCTGACAGGCAATATGCAGGGGCGTATATCCATTAGAGTCCATTACCTCTGTGCCGGCAGCTTCTTGCAAGAGAAGAGCCACGATCTGTATATTACCCACATGACAGGCAATGTGCAATGCGGTGCGTCTCCGAGAATCCGGGATGTCGACATCGATGCCGAATTCCAGGAGTGTTTCAACTGCACGTACGTGACCATTGAATGCAGACAAATGGAGGGCCGTCATTCCATCGACCATTTCGGCAATTTCTGGCATCAAGGTCGCAGAACTAGATAGGCCTGTTGAGTGACCGAACAAGTAGCTGGGGGCTGGCGTGCCTTTCTAAAATGCATCAGAAATGATATAGCAGACAGACATATAGACAACTCACCAATGACGGATCCCTGGACTGTCCTGGCTGCCCTTCCGAGCTGTGTTCTATCATTCCCGGCTGCTGGATGTGGTCTTGGCTATTACTTCCTTCCATATTGGTTAGAAGAGCTTCCCAGGCGTTGGCCATCGGTTCAAACGACACAGCATTCCGTCTCAATGGGCTCACAGGGCCATCTACATTGACCGGAGGATTTCCATTCCATTGCTCTACAGTCTCAGAGACAGCGATCGTATCCTGTTGAGCACTCTGGGTGGTGCTATCATCAACTGGAGATGAATGCCGAGGCTTCTCTACCCCCCCCACTTCCTGTAACCGTTGGCCTGTGTTGTAACACAGTCAGCAAGCCAGTCCGGTATTCTAATAGGAGGCTTACGTCTTTTCCGCTGGGCCAGACGGTTCTGTATCCGTCTCCTTTCTAGAATTTTTTCCGCGCTTATGGGAGAGGTCATTTTCAGTCTTCCTATAGAGAAATATAGGGATTGAAATTGGTTCTGAGCAGAAATAACCAGTATTTCTGTTTTCTAGTCCCCGAGGTTACATTTAAATTGCGCAATCATAGAAAGACCAAGGAGAGGACTGGACATGACTCGCACAAGCCAACCTACAGGCCAGCGCTTATCTTTCGTGGGTTCGGTCTCCTCCCCCGCGCGCGTAGTTATGGGGACTGGCATTCTTTCGCAACGTGGCGGGTGCCGACGTACATCAACTAATTTAGCATTCAGGATGGCGATTATCTTAGCTTTCAGGCAACTGTGTTGTCATTACAGATATTAGCAGTAAGAAGTGTCAAGTGAGTACTCACAAAGTTTTAATATCTATAGCCTTGATGGGACTCTCGGCTTAAGCACTACTATATACTTAGGCCTATATAACTCCATTGTAACGAATTTCCTAAACCATAGGCTCACCCAGGCCAAGCTAAAGCTTATTTAAATATATAAATTATGGTTGTTCTTTAGGTTGGTGTTTCCCAATTTCCTCCGCATATTTAGAAGATTAATGGCCCTATCATGCACTTCTAATTAATATTAAGACTTTTAGTGGTCATGTGGTTAAGACAACCTCTCTAGAGGATTCTCTCATAATAACTAAACTCTTTTTAGTTGGATCACATGCTAGCCCCTGACATTAACTAGTTGTAAGGTCTATATAATAAGCATGTCAGCTCACTGCCTCTAATATCTCCAACTAGGTTTAGCGTGTCACCTAAGTGTCATCGCGCAATGCAATGTCACAATGGAATGTCACTGTGGAGATTTCAGCGCTAATCCCTCGCTGAAGGCTGATATGGGAGGGTCAAAGGGACTTCCGCAAGTCTATGAGAACGTTCTCTGTAGATCAGGGTCCAAGGCTCGGAGTCAACACCATCCACCCATCCACCATGGACCAGCAAGATTCATGCCACATTCCTACGCCCCGGGAATCTGGTGAGCTTGAGAAAGAGTACCTACTAGAGGAAAATTCCAGGAAAACCAAGAGAACGCCATGGAAATCATCAGTTTATCATCTTTATGCCCTCTACACGACGAATGGTCTTCTACTGTTCATTCTTCTAATGCTACTGGCACAAATGAGACAGCAGTGCCTCGCAGATCCATCGCTAGGAGTTTATTGTAAGTGACGCTTTCTTTTCTGCTTTAGTGGTGTCTAGGAATCTTTCTAATATTATAAACAGCCCCTGCAAACACAGCAGTTGAGTATATTAAAGAGGTACCATTTCGAGCGGCACTGTTCAATAACACTCCCTACATGGGCTTTCCTACCGACGAGACGGATAAGCTGTGGTCTGATCTGTACAACTGTACGTTTTGGTCCCTCTAATGCTCCTTATCAGGGATACTGAACGTTCAAGCCGGTCTGTCAAAAATCTCTGAAGACGAGGCTCGCAAATTATCAGTGCCAACATTGCCGATCCCCGGAACCAAAGACTACCTGGTTGAATTGGACGTATGGCATGAGTTGCACTGCCTAAACGATCTCCGCATGGTTCTCTACCCCGAACGGTATAAGGGATTGGATGACCTCAAAGACGAGAACGGCGTGATTCAGCGGGACAACGATGCTTTTCGACATTGGGGTGAGTACTATATAATTGCTCCAAGAAACATCCCCTAAAGGCCTAACGAAATCCTGAGATCATTGCATTGATTCCCTTCGACAAGCCATCATGTGTCATGCCGACGTGGCCCCGATCTCATTTCACATCAACGTCCCTGTGAGCTCGGGGATCTTCCCCCGGCTTGCGACCACACACACCTGCCGCAACTTTACCAAAGTCCAGGAATGGGCACGAGATCATAAAGCCGGAGAATGGAACTTTTCCGTGTCTCCCGAAGAGGCCGAGCAAATCATTCGGACGGCGGGCTTTGATCAGTCTCCGTTGGAGGACATTGAGTTTTTGTGGCCGAGTTTCCCAGGTAATACGTTCTTCAAGCACTGGCAAGAAAATCTGAAGTAATCCACTCTCTATCAAAATAATCATGCTGTCTGACTGCTTTTCAATACATCACCGAGTGTGTCCCCCTCCTGTAGATTTCTTATCTCCAGTGGCTCTGCGATGGACGCCGTTACTTGCTCCCATATATATGCCGAGTCCCTGCATTTATGGACCACTCCAACCCCCTCGATAAAGTTGACTGTTTTTCCATCCTTGATTCCTTCCTCTCCTTGTTCAATTGTGTCATCGGCAGCGCAAACTATAGCCTATGCATCCATGTTGCTCAGATCGGATACTTATAAAGTACATGTCCCATATTGACTGACCTGGGCCAAATAATCCAAGCAGTGACCGAGATGCATGCCAAGATGCATACTTTGATGGTGCCCTTCGCTGCAGTTGGCACTTTGTCGGACGACTTCCAGGCAGTGTAGCTGGTGAAGCATAGAAATACCAAAGCGCTGTGGCTTGCCCCCGTCAGGCTCCTGCAAGAGGACGAAGCCATGGTTTGGGATCTGAGTGGACTGCTTCAGGAGAGACATTTGCGGTTCTGACTGCAAGGGGAAAAAGGTTCTCAGGTTGTTTGTTGGGGTAGGAGGAGAACAGGCACTGCAACTGTACCCTGGAAAGAAAGTATCTCTTATAATGAGGATATAAATAAAAGCTCCTAGCGTGTGGAAAACCAGAGCAATTTTAAAGCTCCTAGAGGGGTCCATTTTAGACCACACATGAAGTTAGAAGTGTGGAAATATAAATATTGACTACTGGTTGGGAGTGAAAACCCATCTTATAGATGCTCATATGTATAGGTATGACAGATGACTGGTCATATGATAAAATAAAGGGATCAATTCCTAGTATTCTTAGGCTGAATTTGGGGATCAGTGTTCTTACTTTCTAGTGATTGAGAAATACTATAGGGATCTCCTAACACTCTCGAGGAACTAAATAACCCCTCATTCTATTGAAATATTGGAAGGTCCAGGAGGATGCTGAACCATTCAGCTCTTAAAAAAGTGCCCAGACAATTCTATATAAAAATTGCGCTTGAATTGTTTGACTCTAACTACTGGATGCCTTGGCGCCTTGATACCCGGATTATATGGCGGAAAGTCTCCGTTAGAAGACGAGGGTGCCAGATGTCATGGGAGGGTGCCAGATGTCATGGAGGTGATCTCCGCTCATTGCCTTCCAGCTGTTCCCTTGTCTTGTTAGTTTAACTTGTGTCCCTATGCAATGGCGCCTCCTTCATACTCGCCCGGATCCTCATGGGTGTCATAGTAGCCGTGAACCTGCTTGAAACGATATGACATAAAGCGAGGCGGGCCATATTCTTCGGGTTTTGTGAGACGGGCAAAGTCATGTTCGTTCAGGGCCTTCTCCGTCTGCCACTGCTTCACGGCCCCAAAGTCTCGGCACTGGTGCGCGATCTCGAAGTCCGGGAAGGGATGGTCAATGGTATCTGTCCAGAAATGCGTATAAACGGCCGTGTTGGCATTGCAAAGGATATTCTGGAGCAGGTAGTAGATGCAATGCGAGAGATGCAGGCGGTGGATCGGCCCCGTCTCGTTGACTCCCCGAGGATACTGACTGCCATAATAATAGTCCCAATATGCTTCCCGTCGGAGGGCGTCGAGACAGTGGATCTGATGGAAGACATCAAGGCGGCCGAAATAGACATCGCTGCCCAACTCCCAGCTGTCGGGAATTCGAATAGCCTCGGCTGGGTCCTTTCCAATGGCGAGGACCTGCTCTCGGGTCAGGGGTATGGGCCTTGTATCTCCGAGCCTTTTCCAGGCTGTATCGACTTCAGGACTTGGGTCCTGTCGGAAGATGCTTAGAGGGTCTGACTCGATTAAGCTGGTGTCGAGAAATCTGGGCCCGATGGCAATCTCAACCTCATCTAGAATCGGTGCTCCTAGCTCTTAGAGACACTCTTAATAGGAACTGATGATTAGAACTTACAGGGCTCTGAAACTGGTTTGAGAGCAGAGTTTCGCGATCTTTCTTTTGGATAGAAGGAAAAAATTAAGATGGATATTGAAATGCAGAAGAGACCCAAGTTGATCCAAAAAATGCGAGATTGAGTGCACGCCCGTCTTTCTGGAAGCTGCTCTTTCTCGCCGTCTTCAAAGGGATCGAGGGGCACGTACTCAGCCCGAAACACTCGTTTGACCCAGCCGAACATTCTGGTACTTTGACTGGCATCTTGATCTGGTCGGGCCACTTCTAAGTAGGGCAACCAAGTACTAATGTGTAATATGACCGACAGTCAGCAGCCGAGTATATGGCCGCTGACAAGACTTTCACAGACTGGCATTGACCAGTATAGGCAGCTATATATACTAGTAAAAGACCTATATTGATACAAATATTTACTCTCATCAATAAGCCTATATTCTTCACAGACAAACCTCTTTCTCCTCTAAATATGAAGTTCACCGTCTTGATCAGCCTTCTGGCAGTTATTGCCATTGCCGCTCCCGCTCCCGCCCCTGTCGGTAAGGAAGTGTCCTTGATGAGACATGATACTCATTCAAAGATACCCAACTGCTGACATGATGATAGCACACCCTGAAGAGCCCAATGTCGATGATATCTCTGAGGCTCTATACAGCGGAGGTAAATGGGGTGGTATTTGATGGGAGAGACATGACACCTATTTTGAAGATATATATAAGATATATCTCATTGTGCCGGCTCTTCGTAGCCTCAAACTAGATAGACCCCACTATAATGGAATATCTGTCAGCCTGAGTGATGACATTGTATATTTATAGTCGCTTTCCCTCTGGACACTGATATACTGGAGGATACTATAGGTCGTACCAGTGAATATCTTAGCAGTATATTATGACAAAGCCTGGTTTCTTTCGGCAATTCCTTCTGTGGCACAAATGGCAGGTCGGCTGCTTAATTAGTAGCTTCACTGCTATTTTTCTGCTACTAGTCCTGTTCCTTGCAGCCCGTCCAAACCGCCATTTGACCACGGCGATTTTTCAGAATAATCCCACCTTTCAAAACCTCACCACCCGCGAGGAGATTGTGGCCGCATGGGGTGTTTATCATCTGCGTCTGTATCATCCTGTCCATGAGTTAATATACTACTACTGACTGTTCAGCGAGCCCTGATGAAGCAGAGGAAAATATCTATATCTCCACTTTTTATCAGCTGCAGTGTCTCCGTGATGTACAGCTTGCTTTAGTCAATACGGGCACAACTGGGCACAGCCATATTAAGCACTGTTTTGATTATCTCCGGCATAGTATCATGTGTGCCGGGGATATGACACTGGAGGGACCGGACGAGGGCAAGAGTGGAGGCCGGCGAGGATTGACGGGGATGGGACAGACGCATGTTTGCAGAATAGCCGAGTGAGGTGTAATGATAGGCCAGATCATTATATCATATAGTTGATTATTTGTATACATTCTCTATGACCCGACTAAATGCTTTTGCTGCCACTGCTCAATCTGCGTCCAGGAACGACAAGTATGTGTGGCCGTGCCACCCTTAGATTCAAGGGTCATGTCCCCGCCACATAGCACTCCCTGGCGAAGGTAGTCAAAGCAGTGAGCCGTATGTTTGTGGTCATGGTCATAGATCTCGCTATTTGTTGCGGTTGTATAGAGCACTTGAAGTGCCTTGAGGCAATGAAGCTGGTGGAAGGCAGAGGGCATATACACATTCTTCATGCCAGGAATAACATTGTCATTGGGAACAGTCCTGAAGGCGGAGGGGTCGACTGTCACGAAACCGGCTGTACATATTCAAGAATAAGTCTGGGTTATAAAGTAGATGAATAGGATAAATCAACATACAAAGGGTATACATGCTCCATGCTTTCTCAACGCTGTTGAGGCTGTCCATGTCGTGAAAGGCAGGCTCTAGTATAAACTCCATCTTAACTAGGTCAACTGTTTATACTAGTTAGACAATTTACTACTTTACTATTTATATAAGATGAGACTCACTCTGTGGAAGGGTTAAGACTCTTTGTGATATTAGAATCACCAGTCCCATTATCTCAACCATGCATATTGCCGTGAAAAGCCAGAAGCCTTGTTTCCATGACCAGGTGTTTTTTGGCGGATGGATGTTGCTAAGCAGACCTTCTGTTTCGAAACCTTCATCCTGTGAATCCATTTTACTAGACAGAAGCATAATCACAGGCCCATAAAGCATAGAGAGCCCTACAGTTACCAAGTCTATCTTATTATCAGCTAGCTAAGTATGTATGATGACTGGTCAGCCTACAAACTACCTAGTATATGGGCATAGTGGGCGTCAAAGAGGCACAGGCCACCTGCTAGCATAGAGGTGGTTACTAGTTACTACTGGACGCTCAACCGGTGAGGAACCTAGACTAGTGATTGACTAGTTGCCTTCCCCTCTTTTCCTCCAAAATTCCCCTCCCCTCGGGTTGAGTTAGACGACGACATGGATTCCTTTGTTATATGGAGAGAGGGAGAGAGGCAGTATGTTAATCACACTACTCTTGCGCAGCTTAAGAGAAAAGGAAAAAGGCATTTGCTGATATAATATAGGCCCGATACCCCACCGTTGGTTCTAGAGCTGAATGGCAACACAACCATCTGGTCAGAGTCAGAGGACAACTTTTATTTTCTCGCGTCTCTCCAGAGGCTTATTGGTGGTGAAAATAACACTGACGCTAACCAACCATGCTGGCTGCACTGGTCCCCCATCGTCGATCCCGGTCGGGGGGTTTTCATCCTCCTGCACCATGATCCAGAGAGCGACAGCCGCGAGAGAATAGGCATTGAAGAGCGGCCGGTATACCCACTGGAATTAGGAATCAAGCAGTTCCCCCATGAGCCGCCTTCATGCTACACGGCGGAGGCTCAAGCCAGCTATGACCGCTACCAGGTCACCCACAGGTTGCATTTTCCGGAAAGCTGGGCAAAGCTCTTACAGCCAGGTCAGTACATACGACCTGCTCTGGACTGGAGAGAAGATTGACCGCTGGGGCTGGGGTACGTCGCCGGAGGAGGGCAATGGAATTGCAGAGCCCAAGGAGCCGCCAGTGCTTATTCCAGGGGGAGCGCATATTACGTTCACGGTGGTAGAAGGGAAGCGACCCCCCTTTCCACGGCCAGCATCGCCACCGCCAATCCAGGCGAGTGAAAGAGTGTGAGTATGCTCTCATCACAAATAAGGAAGAATCGGTGCTAACAACAGATTCAACAGCCCAGGAGCACCGGTCCTGAGCCTCGAACTTAGCTGTAGTCCAACGGTGGCCCTGACAGGGCTTGTCGAGGTGTCTATCAAAGTCACTTACCATGGCGTCGCAGATCGAGTTGATGCAATCAATGAAAATGCCCAACCTATCACCTTCCACACCCAAGCATTCTGTTCGGTGGATGGGGGATTCCGTCTTTATCGCCGTCGCCATGCAGAAGGTCGGTCCGAAGAGACATGGGAACCGTGTTATGACAGTAGCTGTCAATTTGGGATGTGGGATAATCCTGATAGGCTGGTTAATGTCTCTGAAAACCGAGACGGCCGGTTTCAGACCCTCTTCCCCGGTGAATCCTGGTCAGATAGTTGGAGGATGTGCGCGGATGGGGAAGCTATGTTAGATGATATTAAACTTAGTGACACATTCCGATATCAGTTTAAAGGGGGTACATTGGACTGGTGAGACTAGGGAACACCTGAGGCCCATACCCAGACCATTCTCACCCTCCCTGGTTCAGGGATCGAACCGATTGTGGACCCCACGAACAACGGAGGCCGGCCGAAGGTGATCATACCCGCATCAAACATGATGGAGTGGGGTGTGGTGGATAGATAACAATTTGGGGACTATTGTTCACGAGCCAGATAATCTATCAATACATAAGATGAACCATGCCTTTGTAGTTGATCTAAGGAAGCTAAGCTATAAACGCCTTCTATGGATCCAAAAAGCTATTCTTTACATGGCCTGGGTATCGAAGCCGAAGCCAATATATCAAGGGGAAACAGTGAAGTCAAGCCGGGTGGTTCTAATTATCTTTGGGCTCGTATAATAATGATGTCCTTGATATGACTAGACTATACTAAGGATTTATTCCACATTCCATATCTTACCCATGTTAACCTATTTTAAATAGGCTGTTTGGCCAGATGAAAGTAAATATAAATAATAATATTACCTAAAGGAAATGGACAGAACTTCAGGATTAATCAATATGTTCAAGACAAAAAATGGGACATTATTAATTTATTATTACCTTAAAGTTTACCTATATTTGTTCATATAAGCCTGTCTATTATCAGGCCTTCTACAGCCTATAGTGAGTTTTATACGCTCATCCTAAGTTAGGGTTTAGGGTTTACACCAGTCACAGGGTTCTATATGTTTGCACGGTAGTTACGCGCCAAGGACCTGCAGGTCCAACTGCTAGACCAAACACTCGCCAATGGGTCGGAACCAACCCATGGAGCCGCGAGTCCTGGAGAGGTTTACCTTTGGTAAAACCTTGTCTCTAAGCAATGCGTACTCTGCTAATGAAATTTTACTTTATAGAGCCCTTATCTAAGCATCAACAGCACATTACTTCCAATCCTAAATACATAAAAAACCACTGACTGGGCTGAGACTACCTATGGTTTCCTGCCATAAGTGATATACAACTTCAGATACTGATGAATCTCCAGATTAGCCAGCTCATTGCGCACTTTTGCAATCATGACGGTGGTCTCTAATGGCAACCACCCAAGCACAGTAGTCAGGATGCCTGGGAGGTAGGAGTTTAAACCCTGGACAAATGCAGCGCTCATATACCGCCCAATTTCCTTCTGTTTTTTATCCTTGGCCCATGGACTGAGTGGAATCTTGATTTCTTTACTTATCACATCAATAAAACCAGCTGCTTTTAACGCATCAGGCCATGTGTCAAGATCCTGCATAGACTTGCCGAACTTCTTTTGTGCTTCGCCGATCAATTGGCACATTTGGACTGTAAAGGGCCCTTTTTCCTTTAGTGAGTCATCATCTGCAAAGACATCTAGGGAGATGGCATCAAGCTCAAAGTAACCACCAGGTTGAAGATTATTAAAAGCCTGATTTGCAAGCCGATTGATGTCCTTGATTGAGCCAGCAAGTTCACGGCCATGGATATAATCAAAGGGATGATTATACTCCCAACTGGCCTCATAATCATCAATTTCGAAGACGCAATTGGTGGGGACCCATCCCGGCTGAATTGGGCTCAGGTCGTTTCCGATCACCTTGGCTGAGGGGTGTTGACTGACAAATTAGTAATTGTATCAACTATCCCAAGCAGGCGACGTACTCAGCAAAGTCCATGGCCCAGATGCCTGTTCCAGTGCCGATGTCCAGGACACGCTGTGGGTTCTTCACGGGGGCGAGATTGAGCTCGCCGTCCAGCACCATGCTATACACATGATGCAGTAAATCCATCCGGTCCTGTTCATCTTCGTCATTCGGCTAAAAAGTCAATGAAAGACATGACCAAAATGGAAACAGAATGAATCACCAGCAAATATTCGCCCTTACGATAGCTCTGGTAGCGGCGGCCATTCTCATATCTATTACATCAGCAAATGAAGTGTGATGAATAGATCACACGCACTCGTAGTCCAAGACACTGGACCGAAGGGACGTATAGTCCGATCCGCCAGAGCTTAGGGAGACATTGTCACTTTCTGAGGGTTCGGCAGGATCGGCGAGTTCAGCAGGTTCAATGGCAGATTCAACAACAGTCTCTAGACCAGTGATGTTGGTGGTGGGGGAGTTGACAGGAGAAGCCATGTTGAAGCGGGCGGTTTTAGGAGGGAAATGTTGGACAGAATCAAATGAGGGGGCCACGCGTTTTCTTTATAGCTACTATGAAGTCCCCGCTAGTCACGCTGTCATCGCAAAAGTACTGTGCATATGATACTCCCCGCTGATAGTGAAATGGCGCCAATAAATACCTCATGAAGTCATTTATAATACCTTATCAGTGGTATTAGTTATATGAGTTAGTTTATTAGTGGCTAGATATGTTATGGTATAATATTGGCAACTAAGATGAAAGTGGGTGGACTTAATTAGTTCATAGGTGGTTTTCATAGCAACTAGCCTATTAATGCTCACATAGACATATAGTAGAAAAGGGTTTATTCATTTTTCCTAAGAATAGGTTCATAAGTGAATATTGAGAGGGTAACTAATAGTGAGATAGTAGAGATAGGGGTTATTTAAGACTGCTAAAGAGCTAGGTTTTCTATCCTGAGATTGGATCCTGGCCGCCTAGGATACCCTATACTAGTATTAGCCCTGGGGACAGGAAATTCCACGTCCCTCCTGTCCAGGCCATCTGCCGGACAGGATTCACGCGGACCTAGTAGATACCTATAAATCATAATAAATATATTATAATAATAAATACAATATTACATATAAAACTTCCTCAAGAAATAGAAAAAATAGGAAGTTTTTAGCTAGGTTATTCTCTAAGTGTAAGCGCTTGGGTTGCTAGGAGAGGAATATGTTGTTAGCAAGGTGTGATATTCAAAAGCTAGGAAAGGTCTGTCTATCTCTACTATAGGTCAGATGAAGGGAGGGCTATATACCCTCTCTGTAAGGATCCGCCCTTACATACCCCTAAGAGTTACTATATAGGGCCCTGGGGGCCGCGATTAGGATAATCGCGGCTAATGTTGACCTTTTGGTCGTGTGGGCTAGCGTCCCCAGGTGCTGGTTCTTACAGTAAGTGTCACAGATTATATGACCATATTGTTACGACACTAGCCACCTAGCGGTCTCATCAGGCAGAACGGTTGGCAGAGGACTTCTGAAAAAGAGTTGCAGAAGTACGAGGCTGACTCAGGAGTCACGTGACCATCATAGCGAGATCATAGCGGCGATATGATAGTGCTATGATCGGGTCATAGCAGAACATAGCGAGTGCTACGTAGTGGCCCAGGCTGTTTAGTAACCATGGTTTACAATAGTTTTTAAAGATTATATAATAGTTATAGTTAGTTACTAAACTAGAATTAAGTAATAAAATAGTTACTAATTATTTTTAATATTATAACTATTATTTATAGAAGTAAATAATATATATAATATTCTATTATTATTTAACTATAAGTATATAGCTATTTTAAATAAAAACTTATAATTAACCTATAATTATCTATTATAAAGAAATAAGTACTAATTAGTAGTATAACTAGAAGGGAAGAGTAGCTAATATAAAGAAAAAATTATAAAGTAAAAGATATCTTAAGTAATATAATTATAAAGAAAAGTAGTTAATATAAAAAAATATTATAAGTAAGAGATATTTTAAGTAATAAAACTATAAAGTAAGAGTAGTAAATATAAAGAGAAATTATAAAGTAAAAGATATCTTTAATACTAGAATTATAAAGTAAAAGTAGTAAAGATAAAGAAAA